ACACACACACACACACACACCCTCCCTTTGTGCTCTGTTCTCCTAAAGGTGACCGGAGACTCTTGCGTCGTCTCCAAGTTTGAGGCAGACGGTTCTGATGGAACCGCCCGGTGCTGCGCGCGGCTTCCAGCTCGAGCTCTGCAGGTGACTCTTCTCTGCGCTCTTCWTCCTCCGCAAACTCGTCTCGCCGCTGACGCTCGGATGTTAGWGAGAAGTAAAGGACGCGCATGCGTTGCATTCTTCTTCTTCTTCTTGTTTTTCCTTTTTTTTTTTTTTGGTGGAATAACAGCTCTGCAGCCTAAGTTGCACCCGTGAGGAGCTCGCGTGGCAGGAGGAGCGATGCGGATGATCATGTTGGACCGGAGGTGCTGCTGGTTCTGCAGCTGGTCCCTGCTGGTCTCTGTGGTCTGCGGCGCGCAAAGGTGAGATCTGAGCTTTCTTATTCCGGCCAGGCCTGAGCGAAACACTGACCTGCAAACCTCTCCTCTGCTGCTTTTGCTTTTATTTTATGATTCTTTCAGCGCAAACGAACCCAGCAACATGTCGTATGTGAAAGCCACCGTGGACAAGTTGCTGAAGGGTTATGACATCCGTCTGCGGCCTGATTTTGGAGGTAAAGCTGCGACCATGTGTGGCGCCCAGCGGGCTGCTCGCCGCCTCCTAACAGTCTGATCTGTCCGCAGGAGCCCCCGTGGACGTGGGCATGAGGATAGACATCGCCAGCATCGACATGGTGTCTGAAGTCAACATGGTAAGTTGGAGTGTTTTTTTTTTTCCCCTCTGACGTGGCAGAACTGAGCGCGTGTTTGTTCCGACATGAACATGTGGAGAGAGATGTTAGTTTGGTGCAGCGCCGCCTCCTCCTGCTGCTCTCCTTTCAGCACCACGGACAGATCCGCAATGTGTTTGTCCGCAGGTTCTGTCCCGCCGTGTCACAACTGGCTGTATGGCAAGCCAAAACTGCCATAATTAGCATATATTATACATTCTCACTCTCGACTCGTCAACAAATTGACGCATTTCCAAAGTTCCCTCTGCCTTGGAAAGCTGTTGGGGCCATAAATCGGGCGTATATTTACGTGCAAATCCTAACGCGCAGTGCCGTAAATAACGTGCGAAGGCGCGGTGGCGTTTTCTACCCTAACCCCAACCCAAACCCTAACACTAACCCACCGCGGGTTCGCGCGTAACGCCACCGTGTGTTCGCGCTTTATTTACGGCGTTCGCGCGTGGCGCCACGGCGAGTTCGCACGTTATTTACGTCACCGCGCGTTAGGATTTGCACGTAAATATATGCACCGCGCGTTAGGATTTGCACGTAAATATACGCCCGATTTATGGCCCCAGAGGCCAACCATACTCTGTGTCTTATTTTGACGTGTCAGGTGACCCCCTCGCGTCAGTCTTTGCCGCCAGCGGCTTTTCTTGTGTGGGGGTCTGAGATTWAAATGACAGATCAGGATAAATGGTTAAGTTTAGGTAGTGGGGTCAGGGATAGGATGTCTACAGCGAATATTAGGTAATTTTAGGCTTTGGAACATGTAGTTGACYTGGATTTCCTACATTTTCTAAAAATGGTTAATTTTAGGTATCAGGGTTAATGGTTAATTTTAGGGTCAGGGACAGGATGTCTAAAGGGAATAAAGGTAATTTTAGGCTTTGGGACGGTAGTTTTTGTGAATTTTCTACACTTTCAGAAATTATGACAACAGATTCCGCCCCATCTCGTCAAAAAAATAACGCAAAYGGAGTACCCGACGCGTCAAAATGGGACGCAGAGGGAACTTTGGAAAAGCGTCAGTAGGTGACGACTCGGGAGTGAGAATGGGATGGCATATTTTATACCCTGTCTGACTTAAAAGTGATGTTTAAATAAGTCAGGCCACCATGAACCTCAGGAGGGCTTTACACCATTTATACCTCCTTCTGAGCAGAAATTTGCACTTTTACTCACATTTAAGTCACACAGCAGCACAATTTTCTTGTTGAATAATAATAAACCAAATATTTGACATATTATGGAGGGCTGGGGGGAGCTCAGTGGTCTTGCAAATCTGAGGCTGCAAGTCTGAGCTCAGGAAGGGCATCCAGAGTTGAACTCTTGGCAAATCATTTATGCAAGTTCTTCCTGACGAAGTAAGCAGCTAAAAGAAAAACAACAAACAAACAGCAAAACAAACAAACAAAAAAATAACAATAAATCTCTTTATCAAGCAGTTAGAATGCATCAAGTTCAATTAAAAAGGCATATTTTATGTTTATAAAGTGATTCAGGGAACAAAAACTGTGAACCAAACTAAATTATTTGAACGACATATTACACAATGCCACTGATCTTGACAGGGAAGGGTGGGTGGATGGAGGGTGGTCTTTGCCTTAAGTGGAGGAATTTTTAGGACCTGGATGATTTGTTCATGAGTGATAGAGCAAGAGATGGATCGCCGGATTGGGGCCTCATCCTCAGTAATGAGGGCGTTGCTTCGGTTGGTTGTGGTGAAGAAAGAGCTGAGTCGAAAGCTCTCGATTTACTGGTCTGTCTATTCTAACCGTCACCTGTGGCCATGAGGCGTGGATCATGACTGAAAGAACAAGATCCTGGATATGAGCTGCTGGAATGAGCTTCCTTCGTAGGGTGGGCCGGGCTCAGCCTTAYAGACAAGGGGAGGACCTCAGAGAGGCGCCGCTCCTCTGCATCGAAAGGAGTCAGTTGAGGTGGTTCATCTGATCAGGACGCCTCCTTTTTGAGGGGTTCCACACGGCCCACTGGTAGGAGACCCCAGGGAGTCTCGCTGGAGGGATCATATATCCTCCCTGGGAACACCTTGGGGTCCCCCAAGATGAGCTGGAAAGTGTTGCTGAGGAGAGGGTGGTCTGGATTTTGCCTCTGCAAAGATGGAGATGCCTAAATTTATCTTGTTTTCTGCAGAGCCACACGGCTGTGCAATCGGCGTTGGACAAAGCTGTGTTTAGTAACTAGAAAYAACTAAAATATGCAAGGTTTCACATTCTGGTTTACTGTGTCCAAACTTCATAGATGGAAATTTCAGCCTGACTTTTCCACCAGARGGGTTGTAAAAGTGGTGAATTGTGGCACTTTTTTGTTGCCATATGGCAGAGACTGAGAGTTTGTGAGGCAGGAGGGAGGTGGGTGCTTAGTGATTCCACACACGATCTGCGGCCTCAGCGTGCACGAGGACAGAGAAGGTGATGAAAGGAGGAGGGACGTCGTGGAGCCTCTCTTTGTGTTGTTTTTTGTTTTGTTTTTGTTTTGTTTTTGTTTTTGAACTCAGTGCAGTAATTATTACATAACGGCTGTCAGACTGTCTGCAGGATCTGATCTGACCACCTCACGCAGAGTGTGGTGATGTGTGCAGAGGAGCAGAGTCCGACAGAGACATTTTACCCACGCAGCCTGCGGAAACTCACACTGACAGCTGCACGTGTGACTGAATGAAGACGTGAAGCTGCAGAGAAACAACACACACACACACACACACACACACACACACACACACACACACACACACACACACACACACACACACATGCAACAAGC